GCTCAAGGCGAGCGCTCTACCACTTCAGCTACAGCGCCACTTCCGGTTTTCTGGTGGTTTATTGGAGATAGGAGTCTCACGGTCTTTCCTGCCCCGGCTGGCTTTGAACCGCGATCCTCAGATCTCAGCCTCCTGAGTAGCTAGGATTACAGGCGTGAGCCACCAGCGCCCGGCCAGTACTGCAGTATTCTATAGCAGAGAGGCAAGGGTCTGTTTAAATGACCACCTGGCTCTTGTTCAGATTACAATTATAGAGAAATCTCATAAGTAATGAGGCTTGTGTTCTGGTCCAGAAGTTAGGCCTTCAAGTAGGGAAGGGGGAGTTTTGTTTCCCCCTTGAGGGCAGGTGGGCATTATTTCAGTAGATATGAGTGGGGATGAAGGATTTTTACGCAAAAAGAATAGTGCTAGAAGCCAGGTGCAGTCACTAAACCCTTTAATCCTAGCTACTTTGGAGGTGGAGATATAGTGATCTCAATTCAAGACCAAATGGGCAAAAAAAGATGATGAGTTTGCATCTTGACCAATGGCTGAGAACAGTGGTGAGCACCTGTTATTTCAACTAAGTGGAAAGCACAATGGCTGGATATAGTGGTGAGCTTGTTTTTCCAAGAAGCACAAATAGGAGGATTGTAGTCCAGGCAAGACCACCAAAAGGCCAGACTCTCAAAAAATAACTAAAGCAAAAAGGAAATGCCTGAGTGATTCAAGGGTTAGATTGACTGTGAGGCTCCAGTTTAATTCCAAGTACCACTCAAAACAAACAAAACAAAAGTAAGTGCTAGACATAGAAACTGCCACTAGATGGCAAAAGAGAATCAAGGACAAATTCACATAGGCCTCTGACTCTGCTAGTTGACCTCCAGAAGGCCTTGGCTGTGGGGACAGGCCACTTCCTTGTTAAGGAAACTTCTGGATAGAATATTATAGCCTGTAAGTGTAGAAGCACATATGCTTGGGGACAGAATCCATGATGTAAAGCAGTGTGTGGACCAGATGCATATTAGCGCTGGCCTGTCTAGTCATTGGGGTGGAGGCTGGTGTGGGAGACGGGGCAGGAGGTTATGAGTTCATTTGAATTCCTAGCTCAGGCTCCTTTACATTTCCATTCTCCTAGAGTAAGATGATTCCAAATCACTATTTGAAACTGCCTGCTGCATTAGTGTTTTCCTGTCATAATTATCGTAGTTTGCTCT